AAGTTCCTACCAGCACTATGAGTACATGATTATAAGATGATTATTTTTCTTTTTACATATTGGTTATGTTATTTCTGATAATATAGTAGATATAACATGCAGTAGGGGAGTAGGGTCTTGAAAAAGTAGTGCTGTGGGACAGGTAAATGACAGCAGTATCTAAATGTTTTTGCCAGATCCTTATGAGGGATTTACTTTGTGTCACGTCTCCTAAAAGTCAAAAACATCAGGCTGCATCCAGAAGGCTGGATAGTTCACAGAATGATATACAGCACTAGAGCATGTAAAACTTTAAACAAAATACAATGTACAGGAAAGAAACATCAACTCAATCCTTCCCTATCTTATGAATTCTCAGGCTTTTTTTGAACTTCTTGAAAACTACACAGGCCTTTGAGCCAGGCTTACATGGCTCCAGTTAAGTCCCTGCAGTGCTGAGTATGTCAAAATCCATTGAATTGTTGACTGCAACTTGCTTGATAAACTGAGCTGTTTATTCGGGGAATTTTATGCATTTGACCAGTTTTGCATTTTTAATAAAATGCCTATGGCTTAACACAGGAAAAAACAATAAAGTTAATGGTGCTGATTCGCATACTGCTTACATCAGTTTGTGTTTGAATTAACTTCACAAATATCAGTGAAATTTCTTCTGGATTACACTAATGAAACCAACTCAGAATCAGGCATACTTTTTATAACAAAATAAATCTATGTTTATTTTTTTAAAAGTCTTCATCTCCAAATGCATTAAATACATAGTTAAAAACCAAGTTAATAGCACACAGTATTGTTCCCCCAAGCCATGGCTCAGTTTTCTCACTCTGATTAGCTAGCAATTTGTACAATTACACCTAAATGGATGCAATGCTGATTTCACTGCTTATTTTATTATAGCACTAAAGCAGGTACAGAACTATCTGCAATGCTTGTTTACAGTATTACTCATAAACAATTTTTTCACACACTCTATTAAAATTTCCCAGCTTGATTAGCTACCAATCTGCACTAAAACACTCAAGTTAAAATGAAAAGCTAATTGCTCTGAGTTTTTCAGGTAATTTACACGCAACAGGATTTATTGGTGCTAATGAAGCTCCAGAACAGGATGGCTTCTACCTCACATACTTTTTCTGCCTTTCTACTCAATAATAAAATAGAAAAAAAGGTCAATACGAGAAAGTTCTTTTAGACCTGTAGATTAACCAATAATCTGATGATACTCTTAAGTCTGTGAAAAATCCACTGAAATCAGTGAAACTCTAGAAACTCTAGCTGAAAATTATATTTCAGGACTAATTATTTAAAGAAAAATATTCAATTACAGAAAAAGAATTCTCTCAATTCCAGCATATGAAGTTTTTTGTCCTAGCAAAATTAATCTAATTTTGATGCAAATCAGACTTATTAATTCAGGAACTTTCTGAATGAATGGGTCATGACTCATTTTTATAATGCTATCAACAAGTTTGGGGGGTACATTTTTTTTCCTTTTTTTTCTCTCTCCTTTTTTTTTTTTTTTTTAGTATAAGGGCAGGCAAATTTGGGAATTCTAGAACAAGAGTTCATGAATATAATTTCTAAATAATGTAATTACTGTAGTTTGGAATAACCCCTGATAATAGTTTGTTCACTTCAACAGGTGCTTATTTTCACCACCTAATGGTTCTTTCTTTTCTCCGCCTTGGCCGATGCACAATATCCTGCAATGTACAACATATTTCCCCTGCTGTGCAGTTTCATATTGGTTCAAGAGAAGGGACATAAGTCTCTCATCAACTGCAGCACAGCTCATGGCTTGAAAAGGCAAGGCTTCTGAGCCTGGAAATGCAGAAGCTGGGGAAAAACACAGGAATCAGGTCTTGAACAAATACTCTAATCACTGAGAAACTGCTAAAACCGTGTACTAGTCAGTCTTGAAACACTCAAGTCTGTTTGTGAATCCACACCCACATAAAATCAAGTCAGTTTCCTAAATGTTTCCACTTGCCAGAGCAATGCACATCCCAGCTGTTCAGTCAAGATGTAATGTGAGAGGAAAACAAGAACAAAGTCCAAAATCATGAAAGTCCTGATCTACCTCTGAGGTTCCCCACAAGAGAATGAGGTCACCATTTACCTGGTACAACACTTGCCTGAAAAGTGTGAGACCTGAAATCTAAAATCATCTTGAGGGTAAATACCATAACTGCTTTAAAACTGTCTCAGCTGTTATTTGTAGCTACTTTCTACTTATTCTTCTGGATCTGGAATGATATAGATAAGTTTCCAATAATCAGGCTCAGAAAAAAAACAAAACAAAACAAAATAAAACAACCACAAGGGAAATTGACTTTTGTACTGCATTTGGGATGGAATTAATTTCCTTCACAGAAGCCCTTATGGTGCCATGGTTTGTAACCAAAAAGGTGTTAACACACCAGTGTTTTGACTATTGTTAAGCAGCTGCACAGCATCAAGGCTGGTTTTGCTTCTCATACTACCCCCACCTATTGAGGTTATTGTAAGAGAAAACTCACTGAGGATTAGAGATCACAATTGCCTTAAACACTGTCAAAGCCACAGGAGGATGTTGCCTACTATGGCAAACTGCATGAAGAAGCAACTGCTCATCTGCAACCACTGAACATTTGCCCACCCCCACCCCCTGAATATGCCTCCATGAATTCTTGGAAATTTGGACAATAAGCTAAGCTACCTGACTGGAACTTGAAACAAAATGAAGGTGGTACTATTATCTACTTATCTCAGGTCTAAGGAGAAGTAAACAAGGCTGAGAGAGAAGTAAATAAGGCTGGGGGAGAATTGGCTTTCCTTTTCCACAAGGAAAGTCAACTCAGCTGCTCTGGTGAAAATCACCTCTGGCTGAGTCTGGCAGGGCAAGGTCATAACCCACAGACTCATTTCTGAGGTCTTCCACCAGAGAACTGCATGTGATCCACAGTGTTGCAAAAGACAGTGTAAAACATGCCCCTGCAGGAGGATGCTTGGGTGTTCCCACGTATACCTGAACATACATTAACCCATTGAACTCTATGTTTCATGGGACCCCCTCTACTGAGAAGACTAGAAGAAGAGGACCAACAGGTCGCTGTCTGGATCCATGGGGTGGTAATATCTTTCTACTTACTCTGTCTCTCTCTCACTCTTTTTCTCTCCCCCCCACCCCTCCCCGCCTCTCTCTTTCCTATTTCTTTCTATCTCTCTCTGCCTCACATTTACTGTTAAATAAAATCCATACTATTGACTTTGGCATATGGTCTCAATTGAACCTTCATATGAGTAGAAGCATCTCTCTCTAATAATCATAATAATCAGATCATAACAGTTATCTTTTTTTCTTCCTTCTTCCCACTCTGCTTCCTGAGCTAGTGGACCAAGGAAGAGGGACTAGGAGATTAGGGGTGGAGACAGATGGGACAGCTGACCTGTCCTGGTTAGAACGGCTGGGACCAATTCATCCCTGGATGGGTGTAACCCAAAACTGTGTATTCTATAGCCTCCATGCCATTTCCCAAAAACTGCTGTCAGTAGAGGCCTGCAAGGTGGGAAGATGTTCCTGTACCCTTTTATGGAATTCCCCGCTGTGATACCCTTATATGGAATTCCCTGCTCTGATACCCTTATATGGAAGAGGGACTGAGCAACCGCATGCCCTTTTATGGAATTCCCTACTCTGAGGGAGGGACTGAGCACTCCCGCCTGAACTGGAGAGTATATAACTGGGAGTTTCAGAGCCTTGCGGGCTCTCTCGTGGGATCCAGAGGAAGATTGCAGACCACCGCGTTCAACCAGACTGAGACCACCACCCTCGACTGGACTGCAATCACCACTTCTGACCAGACTGCAGCAGCTCTCCCACCAGCAGGTTTATTCCCTCTGCCTTTGCTTTGGACTCGGGGGTGGGCCAAGGTACACCACTCTTGTTCATACCCCAGGGTGCTGGTTTATACATTTGGGTTTTGTGGGTTAAAACCAATTGTCTGTCTGTATAATTGTACTTATTGCATTATTTTAATAAATTGTTATTCTGACTTATAAATCTCTCTTTTGAATTGAGTTCATTTTCCCTTTTAAACCAGCACATGACCCCAACTGACCAAAGGTTTATCCCATACCATATGATAATCTGCTCAGCAATAAAAGCTGGGGAAAGGAGGAGGAAGGGGGTGGCGTTTGGAGTGATGACATTTATCTTCCCAAGTAACTATTATGTCTGATGAAGCCCTGCTTTTCTGGAGATCGCTGAACATCTGCCTGCCCATGGCAACTATTGAATGAATTCTTTATTTTGCTTTGCTTGCACATGCAGCTTTTCCTTTCCCTATTAAACTGCCTTTATCTCAACATATAAGATTTTTGTCACTTTTCCTCTTCTGATTCTGTTCCCCATCCTGCTGGAGCAGAGGTGCATGGACAACTCATGAGGGCTGAGATGAATATGAGAAGCATAAAATACTCCTCCATACTGATGTGAAACAGATAAATTCCGTAAGGATCACACAGATCACTGATGGTGTTCTAAGTCAAAGAAAAAAGAAAACAAGATAGTTATAACAAAAATTTCAAGAATGTTAGGCTATTGGCCAGATACCAACTGGCTCTTTAAAACACTTGCACTCAGCAAGCAAAAGTTTTTCTTCAAATAGGGACACTAGAGGGTTTTTTTCACTGATTTATTCATAATTAGAATATGTCCCTGATATATCAAAGTCACTAGAGAACAGCAAATAGAAATTCACAAGAGAAGTTTTTCAGAATAAGAATTCAGAAGTTATCCTCTTAAACTTGTCAGAGATATTCTTAGTAAATGTATGAGATGAAATGCATGTATGAGTGTGGCAGTTTGAGCCACATTAGAAATCCAAAATCCTATTTCCAGAGCTTCCCCCCACCCCTTCCCACAATTTATCCCAACACCGGAGAGAAACTTTCAGGCCAGAGGCTTCTATAGGGAGAAGGGGAAGTATATACATTTATTTACACAAATAAATATACTGTACAAACTAAAAGCAACTATATATATATATTACATTTCTATCAGTCCTTTTAAGCCCCTCCCTTTAACTTTAGTCCAGGAAGAGCCTTTCAAGGCTGATATGCAACGCAGTCTCTCTCTTGTGGGAGTGTTCTGGGCTCCTGAACGCTCCATAACCAACCTTCAGCTGTTTGCTGCAGTTTTTTCTCCTCACGAAGTCCAAGAAGATAGCTTTGAGTCTGTCCTCTCATACCTCGGTTAGTAGGCTGCTGTAGTGTAGTCCAGCTTATCAAGCGTCCTCATCCTGGAATGTTGATTCCTCCTCCAGGTTTTCGGCTGTCCTGCATTTAGATCACGGCAGAGACATCCTCCGGGCCTCTCTTCGGTCCGTCTCCAATTTCGCCTGGGATTCCTTTCCCTGGCTACGAGCTATATTTAGCCCGTCCATTTGGCTCCGCTTCAATGCTGAACCTTAAAATCCACCTCCCCCATCAGCCTCAATGCAGTGGGGGGAAAAAGCCCCCCAGCCTTGGCCACAGGCACCTCGGTCCAGTTATACACTGTCCCAAGCGTCCCACAGCTGCAGGGGGGGGAAGAGGACCTGACCTCCTCCCTCTTGCCTCAGGTGCTGTGAATCTCTTCCTTCATAGCACACACTCAAAATGCTGCCTCTAACTCTGGCCTAGGCAGAGCTGGGGGGGCCAGAGGGCTCCCCTCTCCCCCCCGGAGGGTGGAAGAAGGAGCCCAGCCACCTCCTGCCCTTCCACACCTACACGCAGCAGACAGCAACAGAAAAACAACTACCAGCAGCTGCCAGTGCTGTGTATATCTGATTTTGAGCAGAAGCGAACAACATGAGTGGTGATTGGCTCTTCAGGGAACACTGCCCTGGCACCCAATCACCTCTGAGCCCCCCGGCTCCCAGGGGGGGCAATCTCAACCTATGACAATGAGAAAAGAAACATCTCTTGATAACAAATGTTCATTAGGAGTTCATTGAATCCAGTAGTGTTACTTTTACATTGGCAGGAATAATACTATCAGTAACTGAATATATGTTATGGTAACTAAACCCTAGAAAAAATATCACAGATGAAACCACTGCCAGTTTACAGTTTATTTTGAATTCAGAAATATCTCACTTCCTTCTGATAGAGCAAATGTCAGCGTTTTTCCAAAGTGTTAAAGCTTTTCAAAAGAAATATTGTGATGACATTAGAAATTAATGTGATAAGCAAGTTTCAGTAAATATATTGTTAAAATGTCAATAGCTAGGCAAGGAAGACAAACTATTCATGTTCTAATATGAATTTGTACCCAGAAGAAAGCTTTACAGTGTAAAGATACTGCAGAATAAATATTTTCAAGGAAATTAAATTAAATTCTATTTGGAATCTTTACTGTTTCTTCTGGCATGTTTTTTTAGTTATGTTAAAAGATGGTTGTCCTTCTAAAACTTCACAATCAAACTAAACAATGATAAATAAGCAAAAACTATTTACAAATGCTGTGATAAAGAATATTACAAGAAATAGGCTATTGCTTCAATTACGGAGGACATCAAACTAGATATTCTAATTGTCCCTCCAACTTTAAAACAATTCATGATTTTTTAAATCTTGAAGAAAATGTAAAAGAAGCTTAAAGATCCCACATGTGATGTAGTTGAGGTTGTTTCAGGAAGCACACAGGAATACAATGGAAGCTGATACTCTGTCAAGTAATTCATCATAGATTGTGCAAAGAAACAAACTCGATCTGCCAGTTTTATGAAAAGTTGAGTCACATGTAAGCACAATACAACAATATTAAGACTCTAAGTGTCATTAAGAAAAGCTGAAGAGAAGAAAAGAATAAGTAGAAAACTTGACTCTCTGTGATACTACCTAATGTTAGTCATAGAGGGATTTGAACTCTCTGGAATCTGAGCTTTGTTCACTAAATGTTGAATTAAGACTTGGAAAATAAATGCATGAAACATCTGCCTCCACACCTTAAAACTAAGGAATTTTTTCATGGAAAAAAACCTCCAAACAATAACATTGCAGATTTTTCATTTTTTTTCATTTCCAAATAGAAAGTGATTCTGTGAAAATACATTTATAACAAGAGAATTAAAAGTATAAGAGGGAATATTAGCAAAAGTCCTCTGTATCAAAAGCAAGCTCTGTCAAATGACACACATTCAAAAGCAGGGTTTTATTTGAGAACATACCTCTTCATTGTGGTATATTCCACAAACTAAGTCAAAGTTTGTAAATGAGGAAGAAATAATATCATTTTTCCCATTAATAACCCAAATACAAATACTGTAGAAGACTATATGCATGCTGTTGCACTATTTCAGGACTTCAGGACAGAAACAGTTTTATTCTAGAATCTTCAGGGCCTTTGTTTCAAGACCCAATTTATTCTTCAAACAGAACAAATCCAGAAGGAATACAAATCAATGCAGTTTCCTTATTAAAAAAAAAAATGTAGTCCCTGCAAGACCTTTTCCATTTGTTTGGTTTTCATATGTCCTCTCAGAATCATGCCTCTTCCTTTAATAGTATTCAGAGACAGTATATTCAGAGACAGGGAGTACTTAATCTTCTTTTGGACTATTTCACCCTGCCTGAGAGGGAGTCCACACAGCAAACAAAGGATGTGGTTTTAACTTCCAGTGTCTTTTCTGCATTTTGTACCTTAAAGTTAGTTAAGGAAGAACTATCATCATCATCATGGCCAGGCTTCACGAACAAAGATTTGGGAAAGGTCTCTACCCACATTTGCTACAAGCGCGCTGGTGGCTAAAAAGGCCAATATGAGACAGGCACATCCAGTTGCAAAAGGCACAGCAGAAAGACTCCTTAGGTGGTATAAGGAAGAACTATAACTTCAAGCTTATAGTATCCTCAAGTATTAATGAAAGAATCTAAATATAGAAAAGATATTTTAAATTAACTCAAACCCTCAACTGCAGGGGATCACTCCTTAGTGAACATTTTCTCATTGTTTGTCCATTGTAATTCAAACAATCGAAAACAAAATGGGTTTTCAATATAAAAGAGATACTATAAAAATGTAGAGTTGTCTTCCTTTCTTACTATATACTAGTGCATGGTAAAATACATCTCCATTCCTGAGGATTATTCCTGGAATAATGTGGAAAAGCATATCCATGTACAGAATCTGATACCACTCATAGGCCCAGTTGATCACAATGGCTCTTATGCTGCTTGATTCTCTTGCCTTTATTTGAATTTAAATGCTAACCTTTCCCAACTCTATAAAGAATTTCTGTGATTTTTTTTCAGAACCTCTCCACCATTTGTTTAGTACAAAATCAGTGGAATGTAATCATTTGTACCTAGACACTGATGTGGAGTTGTGTTATACTCTGACTGAAGTGCATCTTTTGGGAAACGATATGTCAATTCATAAAATTATCGTGTAAACTAGGTTCTTGAAAACATTGTTTAGCAACAGGTCACTGAAAAATAGCATGAACTCCAGTGTGTTTGGCAATGAGCTGTCTGAGACTTCTTGGGATGATTCACTGTGGACACGGAACACAGGTCTGTTAAGAGCCTTGTGATGCTTGTCTGGTATTAGATGTAATTAAATATGATTGACGTTGGAACCTTAAAAATGGCTGTGAAAATGACCACTTAGGGAAGATCTTTTTAAATTCTCAGACTCACACAATCACAGAATGGGTTGGAAGGGACTGCAGTGGGTCATCTGGTCAAGTGAGTCATCCTGCTCCAGCAGCATCATTCTAGAGCACATTGCACAGGATTGTGTCTAGATGGTTCTTGAATGTCTCCAGGGAGGGAGACTTCACAACCTCTCTGAGCAATCTGTTCCAGTGCATGGTCACCTGCACAGTAAAGAAGTTTTCTCATGTTCAGGTGGAACTTCTTGTACATCAGTTTCTGCCCAATGTCTCTCACGTCCTGTTGCTTGGTACCACCAAGAAGAGCCTGGCTTCATCCTTTTGACACCATCCCTTCAGATACTTGTAGACATTGATGAGGTCCCCTCTCAGTCATCTTTTCTCGAGACCGAACAGGCCCAGCTCCTTCAGCCTTTCCTTGTAAAAGAGATGCTCCAGACCCTTAATCATCTTTGTTGTCCTCCACTGCACCTGCTCCAGGATCTCCATGTCTCTCTTGTGGAGAGACTGAGGAGCCCAGAACTGGGCACAGCACTCCAGATTTGCCTCACTAGGGCTGAGTAGAGGGGCAGGATAACCTCCCTTGACCTGCTGACAAGGCTGTTCATAATGCATCCCAGGATACCATTGGCTTTCTTGGCCACGAGGACACACTGCTGGATCATGGACAGCTTGTTGTTCACCAGGACCCCCAGGTCCTTCTCTGCAGAGCTGCCTTCCAGCAGGTCAGCCCCCAGCCTGTATTGGTGCATGGGGTTATTCCTTCCCCAGGTGCATTTGCCCCACTGCATTTGCCTTTGTTGAGTATCAGGCAATTCTTCTCTGCCCATCTCTCTGACCTGTTGAGGTCCTTCTGAAGGGCTGCACAGCACTCTGGGGTGTCGGCCACTCCTCCCAGCTTTGTGTCGTCAGCAAACTTGCTGAGGAGGCAGCTACCCCCTCATCCAAGTAACTGATAAATAAGTTAAACAATACTGGGCCCAGTATTGAACCTTGGGGGACACCACTAGTGACAGGCCTCCAACTAGACCCTGTGCCACTGATTGTGACCTTCTAGGATCTGCCGTTCAGCTAGTTCTCAATCCATCTCACTGTCCACTCATCCAGTCCACACTTCCTGAGTTTGCCTATATGAGGATGTTGTAAAAGAAAGTGTTAAAAGCCTTGCTGAAATTGAGGTAGACAATATCCACAGTTCTCCCTTTATCCATCCAGGTAGCTGTTTTATCATAGAAGACAATCAAGTTGGTCAAGAACAGTTCCACATTAGTGAATCTGTGCTGACTACTCCTGATCAACATTTTCCATCCATGTGGATAGAGAAGACCTTCAGAATAACGCACTCCATCAACTTTTCAGGGATTGAGGTAAAGCTGACCGGTCAGTAGCTCCCTGGGTCCTCCTTCTTGCCCTTTTTGAAGTCTGGGGTCACATTTGCTTTCTTCCAGTCCTCAGGCACCTCTCCTGATCTCCATGACCTTTCAAAGCTGATTGTGAGTGGCCTCACTATGGTGTCCGCCAGCTCCCTCAGCACTCACGGATGCCATGGACTGATCAGGGCCCATGGACTTGGGGATGTAAAGTTTGTCTAGACAAGGAAGTCTTCCTTAGTCTAGACAACATTCCTTTACCCCGGTGTCCTGGGTCAGAGATTCCTGAGGGCTGGTCTCGTTAGTGAAGACCAATGCAAAGAATGTGTTCAGTAACTCTGCCTTCTCTGTGTCCTCTGTTAGCAGGGTCCACCCTCCATTTAGTAACAAGCCCACACTATTCATTGTTTTCTTTTTGTTATTGATGTATTTGAAAAAGCTCTTCTTGTTGTCCTTTACATCCTTGGCCAGATCTAATTCCAAGTGGGCCTTAGTCTTCCTTGTTTTATTTCTTCTTACCTCTGACAACCTCTCTATATTCATTCCAAGTGGCCTGACCCTGCTTCCATCTCCCATGTGTTTCCTGCTTATACTTGAGTAATGACAGAAGTTCTTTATTCATCCACGCAGGTCTCTTTCCCCCTTTGCCCCATTTCTTGCTCATCCAGCTGCATTATTCTTGATCTGGAGAAAGCGATCATTGAATATCAACCAAAATCTGGGACTTTTCTTCCATGCAGGACCTGTTCTCATGGGATTCTTCCAAGAAGATCCCTGAAGAAGCTAAAGTGAGCTCACCTGAAGTCCATGGTTGTAATCTTAACTTGCTGACCTGCTTCCTCCTCGCCCAATCCGGAACTCCACAGTCTCACTGTCACTGTGCAACCAAGGCTGCTCCCAACAGTCATGTCTCCAATGAGGCCTTCCCTGTTTGTTAATGTGAGGTCAATCAGCAGACCACTTCTTATGGGATCCTTCACTTCCTGTGACAGGAAGTTGTCATTGATGCTTTCCAGGAACTTCCTGGGCTGTTTGTACTTATCTGTATTGCTTCTCCAGCAGATGTCAGGATAGTTAAAGTCCCCCAGAGAACCATTGCCTGCAACTTTGAGGCTGCTTCAAGCTGCCTGTAGAAGGCCTCATCCACTTCCTCCTTGTGGTCAGGCAGCCTGTAGCAAACATCCACAACAGTGTCACTCTTAGTAGTCTGCCCTTTTTTTCAAACCCATAAGCTCTCAACTCACTCATCATGCACATCAAGACAGAGCTCAATACATTTCAAATGTTACCTCACATGAAGGGCAACTCCATCCCCATTCATTGATACTCAATCTGTTAGCTCACTGGTAACAAAGTATCTGAAGAGGGAAAAAGACACAGAACAACTATGCAGAAGTTATATTAAATTCTTTACACATTTAATTGGGAAAATGTTTCAAGGAGTAATGAATATTATGTTACAGAAACAGGGCAGTTTTTCAACAGTTGTTCAAACATAAATTTCTTTTTTGATCTTTGTCATTAAGTGAAGGAGATGAAGCAAAGACATTTGAAATTTGCAGTTGATTAAAAATAATTGCTTTTAATCATATTCTAAAATACTGAAATTCTAAATGATGTTGAAAAATAATGATCAAGGAAAAAGACCCAATGTACACCAGGAAATACTTCTAAAAAATTTGGACTGTTTTGTCAAGAAAATCAGACAAGCCAACATAGTCAAGAGAGTAACAGAAGCTACAAGAACTATAAGGCTGTGGCAATAAATTTTTTTCCTCCATTAAGATGTGAAATTTAAGCTTTGTATCCTCTGGAGAAAGCTGGACCTGCATTGTTTGACCTAATCATAGATTCATCACCTCTTTTCTAAAAAAATTGAAAACTGGTATTATTTTCTTTTAAAATAAAGAGAGAAGAAGATTAGGAGAGGTCTTGTGTTTTAATAAATCTTCTGTGTAATGGATTGATACAATTACTATAGAAACCAAGCCATTTCTTTTGACATTCAATTAATTTGTATTCATTTGGTATTTACAGTTTTTTGATTATAATTCATGTTTACAGTCCACTAACATAAAGGTTTTATATTGGCAATAAAGAATTGCATAAGAAAGCTTTTTGAAAACTGGACAACTGAAAATCTGTCAATGGAGTAGACTGGTGATGGATTTAATGGAATTATGATTGTGTTATCCAAATGGTATTCTCAAAACAACCAGCAGTAATTTACAGTACTAGCTTACTGACACTCTTAATGGTAGCACCGGGGTTAGGCTCCAAGTTCCCATTGATACCCATATGCCAAATTTTTTCAACCTTTTTAAAAATTTTTAGTACTTGTAGTCAACATTATACAACAAATACTAAGATAAATTAAGCATTCCATGAGTAAATCTCAGGTAGATGGCATTCCATTGTTTTTTTGACTTTTTAAATTGCCTTTTTCAGTATTTTCTAAACAAATAGAAAAAATAATTATATTTTCCTTATTTACAGGATTTCTGATGAACAGCTTTCTCAACAGTACCATATGCAGAAACATTTTTTCAGAATTAGAAAGCTTTTATCCCTGCTTAGGCTAATACACTTAGGCAAGTCAGCAGAAGTAGTTCTTGAAC